TCACATCCTATTCAATAAATTAGTGTTGCGGAGGAACAAGTGGTCCACTTACGGTTTTTTCTTTTCAGTTAATGAAATTCAAACAGTGGACAAATTGAGCGCTTTTTATATACTTGATAAAAATGTCTGACACTTCCTTGTCCTTTATGTCTACTAATCCCTTCGTTATCAGTTTTTAATCCAAAGAATCAATTTTTGTTTCAGGTTACTTACTGACATTTTCTACACTGAACCCCTGTTTACCAAAATGAGGAGTCAACAATCTCAAGCAATTTGATATTATGTTTCTAATCGTTTTAGTTTCTGTTTCAGGAATCCTCATGGGATCAAATTTTAAATTATTGAATTGATATGTCGATAAAAATGTATTGTTATATTCTTCTATTCTTATTGTATGTTATATATGTATGTTCTCTAAAATTTCTGTTCCAGAAATCATCCTAGGATTGAATTAATGCTCATTAAATTATTATAACTTATTAACTGTCCACTGATATGATATTTTCCACTGAGTTTCTCTTTCAGGGATTATCTTGGAATCAAACTACATGTTCATCTGAATGAATTGTTTATAATCTATAAAAATGTTTTGTTATAATCCCCCCAGTTTCTGCTTCAGAAATCATCATATGAAGATTTTTCTTCACCTGAAGATCAGTATACGAAGGTCTCATCACCCGCTGATTGTCATGGAGCCGAACGGGTTTAAAAAATCACTGCGTTATTCATGGGCGTAGCCAGGTTATCAATCAGGGAAGAAGGGGGCAATGTAATTTTTTATTATTTAAACAATTGTTATTTTTTTATTAATTGAGTACATATCGTGGTAGTACGTTATTCATTTCACTAGAAAATGCACTACTAATTGGAAGATGATGTATACAATAATTTCATAGTAGTCACTTCAGTGTACTCATTTCAATACATTAGTCAGATATTATTTATGAATATAGAATGAAATAGATGTACATAATGAAAATTAAATAATAGAATAACATAAACAATGGCCTATAAATAACGGTTACCTGATAACAAAAATAATATTAAAATTATTAATATGTGAAATAAATACCAACGGTAGATTCGAATATAGAATAGAAAGAACAGAAACCACACGGGTATGTTTAAAATAGAGGGGAAAACGTGGTGGTGCCTTCTCTGATAGGCATGTTGTAGCAGTTAGCGCAATACCACGAGACGCGACAGCACGTTTCAAATCCCGGAACCAGTGTCGCGAGACACAAAGGTATCAATCGTATTTGCAAGTTCCATGAAATAGTGGAACACGTGTACTGGGAATCGCAATAAAGTATCGATGCATAAAAAGAAGACGTATTAAGTTATGTCACCTGTGCATCGATATGCACGCCCTAGTGAAAAACCGCGTGTTATGGAACAATTTAACACGTTGTGCATGTATTACCATTGAAAAGTGCATTGCGATTTGCAGTTATCGTGGCCAGTGTTTTCGTTGCCATTGGCAAAGAACGCATACGGTTACGTACACGGGTAGAGTACCGAGACGTACTGGCGTGTACTCACGACCACTTTAATGGTGTGTGAGCGTTAAATGCGTGGAAGGTACTACTGTGTTTCACCAGCATGTATTGTGTTCCACAAACATATTTGTATGGTAGATGTACATACTCAAACAGAATGAGTATTTGTATTCTGTCCATTAAAAAGGGCAGACCCAGAGTTGTCCATCTACTACTGATGCGCAGCATTCTTCCCCTCCGGAAGTACCCTCATTATGGGACTCAGATTGACTCGCTCGAGTCAATCTGAGGTCGGTAGTCAGGGAAACCTACGAGGGGAAACTTGTAATTGCTTGTAGCTCGTGGGTGGAATTTGGACACCTTTGGTATTAGAGTTAATTTTTATGATAGTGTGTTAGTAAAATTTTATTTCACCCATTAGTATGTTAATTATTATTTTCAATAGTTATACCGTCATTTGTAGATAAATAATGAAATTAATATAACGTAAATTTATTTACTATTTGAGTACAGTATATAATATACCAGTTTATTGTGAAGTACTTTAAGATTAATATTTGTCTTCATTGATATTTTAAACAAATATGAATATTCGTGAAGCATCATTGACGTTGAATTATGTCAGAAATACGTACTACCACGTTGCTCGAAGAGAGAAATACAAATTAAGTAGTGTATTTTGACTGATGTATTGCAGACCACGTACGATATCATATAAGTAGGCATTTTGCGACGGGTAGATTTTTGCGTCAAAGTGACATAAGAGATAAAACAAAGATCAGTATATGAAGGTTTTTCGTTACCCGCAGATTGTCGTAAAGCCGAACGGGTTTAAATAATAACTGCGTTGTTCATGGGCGTAGTCAGTTTATCAGTTAGGGGGAGGCAATGTAATTTTTTTTCTCCGGGAAGGGCGTGGGGGCAAAGTCGTATTTTTTTCTTCCAACGTAGTGCAAAACCGACTTTGTTTCGTTCATACCCCGGGGGGGGGGGGTGGCATGTGCTCATGGCGTTGTTTGAATATTAGTTTTTGCGTTGCGTTTAGTTTAAGTTGTTGAATGTGAATGAGAGAGTGAAATATTATCATCTATTGTTAAACAATATGTACAAGGAGAATAGATGTGCAACTTGTGATTCCATCTATCCTCCTTGGGTCTCCATTCGCAGCAACCTCCACGTGGTGAGACCTGGACAATCATTATTATTTGGTATATAATTCACACGCAAAATGGTAATATTGACATAATCACCTACAAGGTGACGAATTATACAGCAAATAATATGAGCTAATTGGTTGCGAGGTTGTTCATTTTGATCGATTGATTTTTGTTGTTAGTCTCTTTACTAGCTAGCTGTAAGCGGCAAAATTAAGAAAACCATGTTCGAAGATCTATATTCTGTAGAGTGTAGAGTGTAGAGTGTAGAGCAAACTTTAAGGAACGTGGCTAAATTCTGTTCAGATGTTTAGCGGACACTCGACATCAGACCTCGATATTTAGTTTTCAAAATATAAATATCTTCCTGTATAGTCTCAGATCATTAAGGCAGCCGTCTACTTGCATCTAGAATTCGTCTATTGCGTCCTGAACGACGGTGTGGGAAATTCGTGTGAGCAAGGGGCTTTCCCAGTGATTAATTAACGAACCGGAAATTATCGAGCGTCTACTATATGTATTCAGAATTCATGCTTTATCGATAACGTTGGGTGTTGACATTAAAATGGTAAGGGGGCTACGTAGCCCCCGAACCGTGGGACAAAAGAAAGCATCGGATGGTAGGTTTATGTATTCTGTACCTAGTCGGTGATACGTATCACCAGGTATCACTAATCACGTTCGAGATCAATAGCTTGGATATAAGCCCAGAATTACGCCAATACAATATCCGATACAACTTCACTTCTCGCTACTTTCAAACGCATCCTGTCATCGACAGTGACATGTTTGTCCCACGGATCCTTCGATCTTTCGGAATTTGTCTGTATTTTGTACCGTTTTCAATATTCCAGTAACACATCCACAAAGAACATACAAAATTGCCCCATCCGTACCACCCACACCGGGTATCCTCCGAATGCAGTCGTACAGCTGTATTCTATGATTTCTCGCAACATATATCGAATTGTATCTAATGGTAAGAAATTACGATAGAAAAAAGAGATTGGTGTTGGTTACGAAATCGATGGTGGTTTTTAAATGTGACAAGTCCCAGCGAAGGGCTCGCAATTCCGATAGATCACGAGGCTAGTTTCTATCACACGCGATTATCAGCTCGGTGTCGGGGCCGATAAGGAAACACGCGTGTGACTCGACCGAATTCCAAAATAGTACAGCTGCTCCACATATCTCCTTCGAGATTATCAGCGTGAAATCGAACTCGTATAATTAGCGATAGGAGGTCGAAGTGATTCGTCTGGTCTGTTTCTTCACGCGAGCCCCAAGATGCGCCCGCATAAGTGGGTCAGAGTTTCTGGAACGGGAACGGGTTAGGCCGACCCACGCGATCGCTTTTTCCTTCTTTGACTGCATTCGACGCTCGAGAAGTTCCGCATGGGTACCTGGTACGCTCCTCCAACCTTCTCCTCCACCCCTTCCGGCCCGTTCCTGCCCTTCTTCGAATCTGATCGCGTAATCTTCATTATCATAAAAATTGAAACACCGTTCAACGAAAATGTGAAACGTGATTGTCTAATGATTCTCGATTAAACCTAAGTCTTCTAATTCCATTTCGACAGATCAGTAGAGGTAGACGATTATGTAATTCGTTGTAAGAAAACATGCAATTTCGTAGAATTTTCATCGTTGGAAATTTCTTATCGTTAAACTGGCGTAAAATTCAGGGATTTCGTAATGTGACGTTAATTATACTCACGGAGGGACACAGTTATGCGATCTTATCCAATTCGGCCGAATAGTTGGGGGTGGCTTTAAAACGCTTTCAGGGCGCACGCCTGCGGTATTCTAGATTCTGAACACACATACCTAGAGTCTGTCGTCGTTGACGTTTAGTCGGAGTTTTGCTTCTGTCTCGTCCGTTCGCCGTTACCTCCAAAGAAGCTCAAATCTCTGCCAAACTCGATGCCTCTGATCATGCAATATAGAGAATATTTCTTCGTGAAATTGTTTCCACTTCGAAACGGGGATTATTAATTGAACGACTGCCGCTGAATCTTCCGACCTAAATGAGACAACGTCGAGAATTCAACAGGTATACAGGAAGAAATTCTGTATCCCACGACTTCCTATTGTCAGAGGAGATCTATACGTAGCTTCGTAACTTTCGAATGTATAAAGAGCAAGTTCATCGAAATTTTCTCATTTCACGGGATTATTTCGCGATAACTCCTTTGTCCAATTTTGCAAGCTGATCCAGGATAAAGTAGCGTCGACCTCTTCGGGCCCGTACTTTCGCCAACTAACCACGTTGCAATGAAGGGTAACTGAACTGATCAACCGAGTGCAACAGCGCAGAGGAACCTCGCACACTTGCAAACTACGCTACATGAATGCGAACGATGAGGCGTCGACGAAACTGGAGCCGATCAGCTCGGAAAAAGCTGTCAAGAATGAAACAGAGATCATCGAAGATGAGCCCGCTGAGCCTACCGAGCCTGCCGTGAAAGAAACCGATGATTCTAATGATACGACCGACACGAATGTGGAAGGTAGCTTTTAGATTCACCAATTCGATATCGTACGTACTTTAATTTCTATTCGTTAAACACAGACATTATTCAAGTCCCTTCAGAACTGCCGCCAACGCTTCACGAACGCTTCATGCGGATCAAAGAAATGGTTAAGGATGCCATAGCCGCTCATCACACGTTCATGGTATACGGGAGGGCTCGAGTGATTCGTGAATGTATGCTGAAACGGGGATGGTGTGAAAAATTCTTCAGAAAGAATCCCAACGGTAGATCATCGTGCAATTTTTCATCGAATCTCGACAGTTCACGGTATCGATCGTTTCTAGCCGAACATTTCACCGTGAACTCGAGCCCCGTGATGCTACTGGCCGGTATCGGTGACTTGAAGGATCAACAAAGCGAACGACAACTGATTTCACGAATGCTCAGCAATCACACCGTCGATTTTCTCTGGAACACAGGATCAGATTGGCCGGGTTGGCCGTCGCAGGACAACAAAACGACGATCTTCAACAGATACTGTCGGGCAGGATTCACGTCGAAGGTATCTCTGATGTGGCTTCGATCGTGTTTTACCGTTCCCGCGGCTATATAGGATGAGGATAATACATGCTTCTAAGAAACTCAATTGCCTTAGGTGGGCCTGTGTTCGAACGTTCGACAAATGCACTGGTATTACGAGGCCGGTGTGGCGAACACCCTATTCCCACGTTGCTACAACCTTTGTCAGGGAGATCAGATGCACGCTTTCATCGAGGATTTCCGGTGAGAGAGGATACCTATTGGCATTAGTCTTCGGTGTTTTTAATAATTTAGCTTTCTCTGGGTAGATTCACCGCCTGTCTGAGTCTGTTGAAATGGCTGGTGAACATGATCAACGCGGAAGGCGAGAACGCGGTCAGATCGCCGACGGGGACCGTGCCGTTGAAGGCCCTAGAGTTCGCGATTAAACGGTGCAGCGATTACATCAGCGCCCAGTCCCACGAGGACATCGATCAGGAAACTGAAAGAGTATGGGCGCATCAGTGGGACCAGTTTATCAGCTGGTATTATCAGATCGTCCATAGCCAGTCGCTTTTCATACGGAACAGCGTGCCGTTTCAAGTAAGCGGAAGCACACACCGATTATAGTACCAGGGAGAGTAACGTTAAGATAATTTTATTAATGTCGAACGACACGAACAGAAGTTTTTTTTGGCTGCGAAACACATTTTAAAGAAGATGAAAAAGTACTGCCCTCAAATGGACATGGACGGCGTGATGAATGTGTGGATCATGAAGCCTGGGAATAAAAGTCGGGGACGGGGGATCGTACTGCTGAACAAATTGGAGGACGTATTGACGAAAATGAATCCTGCGAATAAAACGGACACTCGGTTCGTCGTGCAGAAATACATCGGTAATCGCTGTTCTGACGATCTTATAAACTGATACATGAATAAAATTCTGTTAATGGGGCTTTTATTAACTTGTTCTTTTCGTAGAACGACCGCTGCTGATTCACAGCACGAAGTTCGATATCCGGCAATGGTTTGTCGTTACCTGTGCTCAGCCCTTAACACTTTGGATATACAAGTAAATCTGAGAATCATAATTTTCCAAAGATTTTATCCGTGTTTCCGTGGCACGAATGCAACGATCGAATAAGCATAGACGGTGCCCGAGTTGCGCGCCCAGTTCTTGTTTCGTGTTACGATTTCGTGCCTATAAATATCCAGGGCCGATTTAATTGGTCTGCAACTCCAAGTCGTCATAATTATCGTTAATTTATAACCACGTAATCGTCGAAGATCCCCAAGTTCGTATTCTATATTTGGAGCGAATCAAAGCCATGGACGAATCGCCCGCAGTCAATTACCCGGTTATAAGCTCCGTCCCCTACAAAATTGATCCTTTCTAACCCAGTTTGCGTAAATGCCTGTCCCATTAACGTGCGATGCGTCGACTATAACCTGATACGCTGTCGCGAAATGGTGAAAACGCAACGACGAGGACGGAAAAATGATTCGTGATGTCTCGTTTTCAGGGAGAGCTATCTACGGTTTTGCTCGCAGAAATTCTGTCTGACGAACTTCCACGAATCGATTCACCTGTGCAATCACGCGATCCAATGCAAGTACACGAATTGCGGTGACAGAGATCCTGCGTTGCCCTCGGACAACATGTGGGATGCGACAACTTTCAAGGGGTTCCTCAAGTACGATTCAGAATAATGTAAAATCCACATCACGAAATCCTTGAGTTTGCGAACTGACGAAACTTCGACAGGTCCCAGGGACACGATAAAGCGTGGGACGAGCTGATTTACCCGGGAATGAAGCAGGGTTTAGTGGGCTCTATGTTGGCCAGCCAGGAAGCCATGGATCGTCGGAAGAACAGTTTCGAGCTTTACGGGGCGGACTTTATGGTTATGGAAGATTTCTCTGTCTGGCTGATCGAGATCAATAGTCACCCCGACATGAGTTACTCGAGCAAAGTTACGACCCGTCTTTGTCGTCAGGTTTTGGAGGACACTATAAAAGGTGTTCGAACACTGTCCTTATTTCCGAAAACTTCTCGATATGTCGGCTTTGGTTATCTTTGAATTTTCATTCGATAGTGGTGATAGATTTTCGTGAAGATAAAAACGCAGACACGGGGCAATTTGAGCTGGCCTACAGACAACGAATGCCCAGCTGCCAGCCGTACTTGGGCGCAGCCTTGTCCCTTCAAGGGACTCGAATCACAACGTTCGAGAAAAAGCCAACTTTCACCAATCAGGATTCGAAAGTTAGCCTTTCGTCCAAGTCCCCGATGGTAGGTATATCAAGATAAAACTGAATTTTCCGCAAGGGTGTAGACGGATCTGTGTTCTCAGACGTGTCTGACGAAGAAAAAATCAACGGTACACAATCAGATTGGTCCGGTGATCGTCGACTTGATCGAGGAACTAGAAATACAACTCGACCAGGAATTCTACGCCTATTACAAAGTAGACTCGCCGAAATTCCGGCAAGCGTTGCCAGCTACCGCGCCGCCACGACCCTTGAAGACTGCCATACTGATCGATAAACAAGAATCGACCATAAAGAGCGCTCTTGTGGGTGGCGGGTCTAATGTCAAGTCGAAGTCAGCCGGCGTGGTACAGGTAATGTCACAGAAAGATTAATCGATTCGCGAGTGTCTCGATTTTTCAATTCCGTTCACAGAACAATCGAATAAATGAGAAGTCTGGAAACAGTCAGAAAGCTGCGTCACGGACGCCCAGAAAGTTGAAGACTTTCACAGGTTCGACGAATAATAACCGAACGGAAATGTCTCCTGCCAGGGAAACTTTAATCTCGAAGATCATGGCGTTTCAGAAACAATCGTCGAAGCTAACCCCGAAATCCGATAAGCCTAACAAAGTAAACCAACAAAAGGTCGGAACGTCTGATTCTTTGTTCTTTTTAACTTCCATTCGGTTCGATGATGAGAAAGTTTCGTTTTAATTTACTAGATTATCAAGACAGCGGTACGAGATGCAATTAAAAAGTATAAAAGAAGCGCTACTCTGCCCACCATCCCGTCGGAGATACCAGTGCTACCATCCCTGATTACAGCGAATCGAGGGAACGAAGTTACCACAGGGAAGAATAAGAATCGTAGCGTTATGCCGAAGAAGAATACTCATCAGAGGAAAAGCAAAGTTTTAACCGACATCACGGACATGTACGCTGTTGGGCTGAGGTTGACAAAATAAGTGTAAAAAAAAAAATCATTGTGATCTCTGCACTCGTTAACCATTGCTCCATGTTGATCTGTTCTTGAAGTCTATATTTGAATCGTGCTACTAAATGGTCAATAAAGAACTGTACTATCGATGGTCGCTCTCTTGTTTACCCATTTATCGATAGAATACCCCCAGTCGGAACTATCGAAAACAAAATCCTGCTGACTCTCGATCCGTGAACTATGATTCGATACGTTTAAATTAATCATCATCATCATCATCAATGGAAAATTTTCTGGAACCTGCAAAATTTCACGAGTGACGAGGGTCAGGCAAATGGAGACCTTTAGTCTCCAAGAAGCTTTCTCTGAATTTCATGCGAGAATACGAAAGAATTAAACGTTACATGTTCTTTCTATCTTTACTCGTCACGTGGAATGGAGTGCGTCGACTCGTCGTTGAACTATTCAGAACCTGCATACGTGGTGAACTCGCTAGACGTGGATACGGTCATTGATCGTATACCAGCTACCAAGAACAGTTTACAGTGCACCTTCTTCCGACCACCGAAACGGGAACTCAAGGTACGTGAGTGTCTGTAGGTTAACCTACGGCCAGATTCTCGGAGTTTCGTTTGGAATTTATAGACGAAGAATGGAACCTACCAGCTCCCGAACACGAATCCGTTATTGTCAGACACTTGCACGGATACCGACAGCGAGCTAGAAGAATCTTCTAACGCTGAGCAATGGCTAGAGACGTTCTTGAAGGATTCTAACAAATACACGATCGATGAGAAGGGACTGATCAGTGATAGATCTCACGGTAGACCGAAGGTTAGATTTGGTGCAACGTTTTGTATCAATGTAAACGAGACCGCGAAACCAGAAGATTTGAAGAAACGATGGATCAAAGAGGAAACCGCAAGTGTCCCCGTGAAATTAAAACGAGTGATTAAACAAAAAACTTGTCTGATGGATAGGAGTTGTTTAAAAAATGCAAAGTATGACAGAATGTTCAATACGGATCCTGGAATGTACGAACAGCAAGCAACGAAGAACGAGATATTTTTGATAAATAGAAAAGTTCTTCTGTCTCAGATACACGGAATATCTTGAATGGAAATAGAATCTCTCAGCCTGCGAACAAAGCAACGACTGACGAAGCCAAAGAAAATGTAATTGGGAACAGAATCGTTAGGAACAAGCGTTTGTTAAGATCCATGGAAGAGGTGATTCGTACGATGAACGCGTCGAACGTGAACCTGAAATCTTGCCAGTCTATACAGCCGACCAACAAAGCTGCAAAGATCGACATTGCGTGCGAGCAACAGAAAAGTTTGAAAGAAATTTTAAACGACCGAGAGGAAATGGGGAAAGAAACACCGTTTTTTACGAATCCCCAATTAGAAAAGGATCTGGACGAGTCGATGCTGAAGGCGGTAGAAAAATATAGAAGTTGCAGAAGGAAGTGGAAGAAAATGACGGAAGAAAAGACGTGAAAGTTTCTCGAGGAATAGGGGATCATATTTTCTGGCTTCTCTTTCAACACTGTTTTGCATTGTGAACGTATAACAATATCGAGGCACATTTATCGATTGTCAAAGCATATACATCAACGATGTCACATTTCGAGTAAAGCTATGTAAAATTAACACGTGAAAAATAGACTGAAATGAATAAAAAATGTTGAAACATACAAATTCAATGTCGATTATTAAAATGCACCATGTCATACCAAGAGGATTCCACGATTCGATTGGAAGGTAAAGAATGTCTGACAGATGGTCGAGATTTTATAAATTCTAACCATGATATTTCATACGTTCAAGAATACATTGAAGGATCTGGGAACGATGGGTACGAAAAACATAATCAAAACAGCACAAAGACAATTAACACGAGAAAATGGCAAATCATGCTAACCTCCGAGGACTGCACGATTAAGAAACACTATCAAGGTTGGCAGGTACGGAAGATATGCTTCTTTTATCTACATTTATTTCTATTAAATTATCCTGTTATATTTTCCGCAAGATATATCCAAGAACCACGAAGAAATCCGAAGAAAAGTCGCAGTTGTTTCTACGAATCTCCGATACCAGCATGAATTCTCAGACGATTACGGATCCAGAATCCGCGAAGACGGCGAACGCCGAAATCCTCTGCAATCGCGAGGATCTGGATGATCTCTTCAGCAAAGAGGATAAAGATGACGGAAATGACCACGGGAAGATCATTCTGAAAGATTATTTAAATCTTTTGACCAGTGAACAGGCGAAAATCAGTTTCATCTTGATGGTGCTGACTAAAGCAGTGAACGAGCACAAAGTTTTCGTGATCTACGGAACGTTTCCGGTGCTGAGGAAGCCTTTGAATAAAAGAGGTTGGATCGAGAAGAGATCCATCAGAAGGATGCTCTCGATGTCCCCAGAGATGTCTGCAGGTGATCAGGAATTCCCTCAGTCGTTACTGCAAATATTAAAAAAGATTCGTTGATTTTAGCTGGTTTGGAAACGATCGAAAAGTTACTGCGTTGTCCCGCGGACTTGATTTGGTACACGAACAAGAGGGTAGTCGTGAAAAATGACGAGAAGACTATAGTTAACAAATTTTCTGGATGCTATTTCACCTCAAAGGTTGCTTTCGATTTCTTGGTCTCTGTCGTGTTGTAGTTTTAGATTAATTTCGGAATACTTTCAGATTGACATGTGCAATAATTTGGAGAACGTCTGCTGGTACTACGAGGTTGGTGTGTCGAACATTCAGTTTCCACGGTGTTACAATGTCTACCAGGTTTGGATTGAGACTCATCTACGTTATTGCGTGGATAATACAATTTTACGTTTGTACAGGCTGCACAGATCGAAGAGTTCATACAAGATTTTCACATCACCGCCTGCATGGGAATCCTCAAGTGGTTTTTATTTCTGGCCAGCGTAGCCGGGCCACATGTAACTTGGTCCACGAATGGCACTGTGCCCATGTCTGCTATTTTGTTCGCTCTCGAGCGATGCAGGGAATACATAAGGTCGCTGGAAAACACTACCAAGAATATGTATATGTATATATCGTTTTTTCTACGATTAAATGAAAAATGAATAATTGCAGTGTATGCGCACATGAGGACATCGACAGCCACAGCAACGTGGAAGTTTCGGCCTCCGATTGGAGTGAATTTCTCACATGGTACGAACGGTTTTTGCATAAACGTGAAATCTTGGAGAAAAGCGACGGAATAGACATCGAGGTATCTGTTCATAAATAATTTAACTATTTACTCGATCGTTGCATCGTGACGTTTACGACAGGAACTCGTGCCGTACACGGCGAACACTCTCAAAGACATGATACAATGCCGGCCACAGAGTCGTATTGACGGAATGCGGAATGTCTGGATCTTGAAACCGGGCGATAAAAGTTTAGGAAGAGGTATAGTCCTGAAGAATTCGTTGAGCGATATCCTGAACAAGATAAAGCACGCCACGAGAGAGTGTATGCAGTACGTCGTGCAAAAATACATAGGTGAAATTCTTTACACGAGATTGATAGGGATTTTCGACAATTTTTTGTTTTCAAGTATTACCTGTTATTTTTAGAACGACCCCTGCTCGTTCATAAAACGAAGGTCGACGTCAGACAATGGTTTCTGATCACAAGCACTCAACCGCTGGTCGTCTGGATGTACAAGTAACGATTTTTTCAGATGATTTCTACGACTTTTCATTACCTGTAAGTTTTGCTTCGTTTTAAACCCTGTTTCCTTGCGAAGGGATATCCTGCTGCGGTTCGCGTCGAAAGACTTCACCCTCGAGAACTTCCACGAATCGATTCATTTATGCAACACAACGGTGCAGCTCAAGTATAGAAAAACGGTTCGACCGAACATGCAAATACCCGGGGAACTTCATTGGAATCTTCAGAAATTCAAAGAATATTTAAAGTATGCATTTAATTCCGCCCGAGGGAAAAGCTCCCTTGCATTCATTATTTCTGTCGCTTGTTTCTCTCTCAGAGCGACCGATCGCGAATCCGCCTGGGAGAAGCTGATCAAGCCGGGTATAAAGCAGAATTTAATTGGGGCACTTCTGGCCTCTCAAGAAAACATGGTGAATCGAAAGAACAGTTTCCAATTGTACGGCGCCGATTTTTTGATAATGGACGACCTCTCGGTCTGGTTAATCGAGATCAATACGAATCCACGGCTTCATCCGCCGAGCAGTTCCGTCACAGGGAAACTTTATCCGGAAGTGATCGAGGATACGATGAAAGGTAAAGTGGTGAACAAATTCGTTATAGAATGAAGACGTGTTTGCGTCGCGTTAAAGTGGTCATAGATCGGCGTAAAAACAAGAAGGCTCCTCGTGGGAAATTCGAATGTATTTTCAAGCAACGCAGTCCATTTCACGGTAATGTTTTCGGGCAAGCGGTAAGCCTCGGGATTCGTGGAAAATCTCTGGTTTCGTCGCAGCATTCACCGCGGAAATCCTGAATAATAACAGATGGGTACGTATAAACTACAATAAGCTGGACAACAGTTTAATAAAAACGTGTTTATTTTACAAGTAACAATGTTGCGGGTATACAATCCTATATGAACAAATGGTTTGTATGCGTTATGTTGATACATATAGCTATACACGATTGCGTACAAGACATATTCTTGTTCATTGGTTGCATTCATACGTTTCTACACGTACAAAATGATCCATTCAGCGTGTCCGTTCTATTTTTGTCTTTCATTACCAGCGTTACTTCTTACTCGTAATTTTGATTAGAAAAGAACATTCTCTCTTCGGTTTCTCCAGGCGGAACGTTATTTCCGCGAGTTCGATCCTAAGAGACATGATGCACTGTCCAGAACGATATCATCGCAACGTACTAAAAAAAGACACTAGCTCTCTCCTTTTACTCTATTGCTTCGAAACTGGTTCCGTACGGTTGTGTATTACAGGACGCACGATAATCTGTGTCTATTCTCATAGAAAATTCATCTATGCCTTCGTATTCAATTACAAAAAATCTATCATTGGTCGTACGAATAATATTGACCATCTCGAAAAAGGTTTATCGTCTGGCCGTATCCAGTTCGAAACGCGTGAAGCTTAACACGAGAGTCATGTTTCGTTTAAATTAATTGTCCTGACTGAAATAAAATTATCACTTCGTTTTTCCGTGTAATATAATTACAGCGAACCGACGTTATGTATAAAACTGCACTGTTGCAATTTGTAAGAGCAGACCTAACTAGGCTGGACCACACTTTCGTCAAGCAGAACCAGCATAAACTACTACATAGTTTGTTAGCTTAAAAAAAAGGGGGGGGGGTAGGGGAAAGAAAAATATACAACATACATTAGAACACATACAAGTAGCGGTGTCTACGTTTTCGCGAACAGAAAGCGGCCTGGGTCTGTCTTGACGTTAGTGTGGTATCGTGAAAAGATAAAGATCCCATCTGTATCGGGGTTCGAAATCCGGCGAGCATAGAATTAATTATTCGATTCTGACGTGGATACGGTCATCAGAATCGAATAAGAGAGTTCAACATCGCCGGACTTCGACGATCATCGCAAATACATTCGGGTGTGAGCTTTGGATTTTTTTCGCTGCGGATTTTCTGTACGTATATTCGTACACGGCGCAGCAGCATACGACGACTGTTCACAAAACGATTCCAATAGAACCGACAAGATGTATAAATATCACATGTAAAACTGCACGAAATGAGGACAGAGACTCACGTAACTGGCTTTAGCGTAAAGGACAATTTAGGCCTCGAGTTGTTCTTCCCGAGAATTTTCTTTTGCTCCTCTTTTACACGCTTTTCATGTTCTTTCCTCATTCTTTGCCTCTCCTCTTCCATCAAACGTTGCTGTTCGACCATGGCCAATCTTTCCTCGGCCTATGGACAGACAAAACGGACGAATTTTTAAATCACCGTTATCATTTTTCCAGTGATTAGCTCTCCCATCCAATGGCAATGACATACCAATTTCTTCTGGGCTTCTTCGATTTTTCTGTTGTTCTCCTCCACGATCCTCTCTAGTTCCTCGCGCTTCTTCCGCTCTTAAATTAGGATGGTTTGTCGAGAGAGAACGTTTTTAACGGAGGGCACATGTGAACCCAGCTCCTCCGTTCGGATCGAACCGAGCTCCTCTTAGCTCCCAGCGATTGCTGTTTATTGTCTGATTCCCCCAGATGGAGATACGACGACTTAGGATGCCACTTGAAAGTGAAAAAATCGTGAATTATGATTTCTGAATTCAATCCACTGTGCATGCAAAACGACGGTACGGAATAATTTACGGTAGCAAAAACCACGATAGTTTCTAGTTCGTAAAGTGCATGGTAAACTCTAAGCTGCGCAAGGTGTGAAGATACTTGATGAGACAAAATATAATTAGATGCAAGAGAAACGTAATCTTTTCGCAGGGAAGTAAACTGTTCGCGTGCACGATAATGACTGATGCGCAATCGACGTAAAGAAGTAGGTGTGATACGTATTTAAAAAAAGAAAAGAAAAAAAAAGGAGAAAAAGAAATAGTTACGAACGAATGATGCCATCCGCCCCGACCTGTCGACGGGAATGCGTTGTGTCCCAGGTTACTAATTATGTATTTAGTAAAATCTAAAATATATCCCTAGTATGGTCTCGTCGAATACATAGCGTTTAAACAAAGAATGATAATAATAATATTGGTATAAAATGAATTATGAATATATAAATTGGATAATACCTGAATGAAGCTCACGCCAGCACGTAGGGGATGCCTTCTTCATCGACAATCACTCAGCAGTGAGTAAAAAACCGGCATCTTCTGTTGGTAGTCAGTAAGGAAGGTGACCTATATATTTGCTAGGTCGTGCTTTGTTGCTATGGGATTTTCTAATTCTGCCCCTTAAGATCTATACGCCTCCCTTTCTAATTATATGTAGGTATATATAAATATATATATAATCTCTCCCAAACTTGTTCACATAGTTAGTGCAAACTCAATGTGCGAAGCAATAAGGACATAAAAAGTATATAATGGTCAACTTGTAATCAGGGTCGCTGTCCATTTGACCGGTACGTGCTGATTCCCCGAGGGCGAGAATAAATAAATGTGCACATACACAAAAGACATAGCGCGGAAGAACACTCCTAATCGTATTTGAAGGAAAACGTAGTTCATGTAAATTAAAAAATAAATAAAGTTGGATATAACATTGCTTATTAAGTGTTTAATTCGAGTAGTTGCCAATTAGATCAAATAACAGGACCCATTCTTAATATTAATTCCGCTACTCGATGTAAAATATTTTCCACCCACCGATTTTCGAGGCAAAAGTTACAATATAAAAACTAAACAGAATTTTCGTGTATGTAAAAACAAAATAATGTCTATTAAAAGAACAGATAAAATCTAAGTCATTCCTAATAAAGTCAGGATATCTTTCTTACCATTGCGCGTGAAAAATTAAGATTTCCATGAAAGAAGTTCGGCAATTAGGTGATATCTAGCTCTGACCGGTAGCAAAAAGCTATTCAAGGGAAAATATCACTTTCCTATAATTTCGTGGAAAAATAACTTTATTTCAAGCTTGCGATGGTCACTTTTTTTTCATTTTTTTCAGTAAATTACAAAGTTTGGGATTCGCTAACTTTCATTATTCGGACGTAGCATTTTCTTTTCTACTTTTTAAAGACTGTATGATGCGATTATGTAGACATTCGCACACGCGGATATAAACTATACTGATAAAGTAATTAAGTCTTCTGGATTGGCAGAGTACCGTGATTGTGAAAAAAAACTGCGAGCAGGAACGTGAAGATCGCGTTCGAACGCAATTTTTTCCAATTTCAGGTACGACTGGCAATCGAAAATATTGTGTGATGAAAGGTATTAATGTTGTACAAATATATAAATATATACATGGTACAAATACAATATTCTGTTCATAAATAACCGATACATGCGCCTATGATAGCAAAATTCTTCTCATAAGAGAAAGTATATATCTTCCCAACAACGCGACCTCAGTGGATGCTGGGAAGTCGAAGCAATGTGGCTTTTCAACGATATTTCTTTTTTCCATAGTAAACAACCACAATGCTTCAAGCCCAAACGCTGTGATCGCGAAATAGAGAATTAACATAGCGTTATGTTCACGCGAATGAACTTTTCACCGCAGGTATTTCAACTAGTTATTTTTAGACAATAATTCGGAATATCCAATTAAAATATTACGATTTTCTCCATTGATACATACAATTTTAACGTGTGTTAAATATAACAGATTTAAAGAAAAACACTTCAACTAATGTGCACCTTATAAAACAAGCTGCTAAATTTATCATAAACTTTTTCATTTTTTGTTTGTTATATGTTTAATTTTTACTATAAATGTATCCATTAGAATGGATTGCTCATTTAGATGTAAAAACAATACGAGGATAAAGCACCAGACTTATTTCCTGTTGATCATAACAGCGCTTGGGCTAACACTGGCCAATGTTTCTCTGGATTGGTCTTACCTCTCTTCGTTTCTCCTCCTCACGAAGTTTTGCTTGTCTCCATTCCATTTCCTCCATCATTTGACGCTCCATTGCCCTTTTGGCTTCTTCTACTCTCCTTTGTACTTCAGCTTCTATTTCCTCCTTACGTTTCTCTAGCTCCTCCTCCACCCTCTTCTGCACTAGCTCCTCAATTCGCTTGGCAGCCTCCTCCTCAACCATTTTTTGCTCCACTTCACGTTGTCTTCTGTAAGCATAGAAATATTTTGTTGTTCTAACGCTACATAGGTAGCGAATAGTTATCGAACAAATACCTGACATGCTTCTCTTGCAAAGATTATTACAACAATCAATTATGTCATAAAATGTATGTTTAAGTTGGGAATCAATTTAATTGCTATAACTTGTTTTTGTGGAAAATTATAAAATGTTACTCATGTATGTCCTGAACACATATACAGTATATATATATGTGTGTAAGTAAATACAATACAAGTGAACCACCACCATGTAATAGTTTTTCCATCTTACCCAACTGCATTCGTAGTGAAGATTTTGTTCGATAATTCTTTCTTTTTCCTGACAACATAATTAGAAATAAAAAAAACGTATACGAATGCAAATAAACCATATGAAATAATATTTATTGCATGTCATAAAAAAAATACAAGCCAGATTAGGAGGTGAAATGAACCACCAAATACAATGTAATGTATAACACTATTTCCATATGAAGACCACAGATGAAAAACATGATGAAGAATGGACATCTCATGTTTTTCCTTGTTGTCTTCATATGTACACACCATGTAAACGACAAGAGAAACATCAAATTCAATCTAAAGATTCACCTTCTTTGATTAAATACTTTAATAAAGTATGATAACTTTGATTAATATATAAATCAAAGGAACAGGAAGTCACTTTATCTCAATTACCTTTGCCGTTCCATTTCTGCTAATCTCTCAACCTCATCCATTTTGCGATCCCTATCTCTATATGAACGTTTCTTGTGACTGACAATGTGTACATCATCTGAAGCATCAGACCCGGAACTAGAAGATGCAGAATGGGACCGTTTCCTAAATAAACAAACAAATACACTGATTAGATCAGAACGTTAATCATGGGTGAAGACACTAACATAGTAACTTACACAAAAACTGTGAAGTGTAGTGCAACACTTAATAATAGGATATTCAGAACTTGCGACGCACAACGATATATAAAACGATAAAGGACGTAACTTCCAACAACATACATATATCAAAGTGTAAAGATGCTCTCCCACTGAGCGTGGAGGCAAAATGGCGGAGAACTTAATAAACTGAAATAATTGGAACGTACATACAGATGACAATGGAAAAGAATGTGTATTACCTTGATTTCGAACTGCGTTCCTTTGGTTTATCTGAATATTTATTGTTAGAAGAGTGCTTTTCTCGAGATTTGGAGCGTTTCCTCGAGTGCTTGCTCTTGTGACGCCTTCTGCTCGGAGATTTAGTTCTGGATCTGGAACGGCCCATTTTGACGAGTTTTATCGTATTTTCAAAAGACTCGTACGTGAAACGGAGACTATATTACAAATCTGATAAATAACTACAGTTAAAATTGACCGAACAACACGCGAACACAAATGTAAGGAACTATCTACGTCCAACGCGTACACTGCACCACTGACTTATGCCGTAGCCTGGGCAGCCATGTTTCAATTACTATTGAAGATGGCGTGTAGGCTACAAAACACTTCAGTACGTTGTGTTCTTTTGCATGGAAACATTAAAAATAATACGAATACGTTTTGGTAAGTGATACCATACTCATATTTTTGAAGACACAGATACTTTCTATATGAATTATTTACAAATTAATGGACCTCGCAAAATATCTTCACGTATCAAAGTTTATTGTTCAAATCCCACTGTAATGTTTCTTCCATTCGTATTCCACCAATCACATTTTGATCCCAGTTATACATACCGTACAGTGTACAATATTTTTCAATGAAACAAACAGACAATAATTCCTCGAAAAAGGAGTAAGGTTATATGAAAGTATAATTAATTCCACATTAAATTGGAATCGAATAGATTTGCGAATAACGCTATATCCGACTTGAGTGAACAATTATTGTTGCCCATGCATTCAAAAGGAAAGGGATAGAAGAATAATATACGCATACACCTGGAATAGAAGTTTATCCGAGTAAGAGAACACAGAGAGAGAGAGAGAGAGAGAGAGAGAGAGAGAAGCATTAAAATAATCGGTAATATACAATCAAAAATTCAAATAGAATCATAAGGCGGGAATGGAAGTTTCACTGGTGTCGCGCGTGTTCCGAAAAGCGGCGGCACCCGTTCACAGCTGTGTCGGCGTCGCGCGCACCTCATTCGGCTCGTTCCGCGACAGCAGAAACCAAGATGGCGCTCCTCTGTTTGCGGATAGTTCTGCGACGTATATAAATACGTGAAAAAAAAACAGTGCGAGAATCGGTTCACGGTGGATCGGGTGGATTGTGACGATCGGTGTACGCGTGTCGTCCGGTGACAGTACGTTGATAACGCGCCGCGATTACCGGGAGTCCCTTGAACGCCGGTGGAAATCGGCTGCGGGTATTTCGAACGTCGGCGAAGGTGCTCTCGGTGCCCACCTGAGGAATGCCAGATTATCCTCGATACCGCGGCTCGGTAGACAGGGGGACACGTTAATCGCGCCAGGGATCGTATACGTACGGGTCGATCCCGGTGGTGTTTCGTAAGGTGATCCCCCGCGAAGGTGCACGCTCGTTTCTTCCGTGACGTATGTGTGTCGCGGAGGGCTGCGAGACAGGTCGGTCGCGAGTGTCGTCGTCGTTCACGTCGTCGTCGTGGTCGTCGTCTGGGTGCTCGTGGTCAGTGTGCCGTGGCGTTTATCGCAGCTTCGATGCGCCTTCGTCCTCTATTGGATATCTGGACAGGCGAGATCAGTTGCTGCTGGAACAACTAGTCCGGCAGCTCCGGGGGACGACACTCTTCGGCAGGAGCGGTGGGGCAAGGAGGTGCCGGAAGCAGCCGCGAGCCCGGGACCATAACCAAGAAGATGGCTTTCAACGAGGTGAGTTTCATTCGTAAGCTAAAAACCGTTTGTGTGTGGCCTATCTCTCTCGGTTCGGCCGTTCGATCCCGCGGGCTGACCTCGCGACCCCCAAACGCCAATTCTAACCTAACCTCCATTCCTGCGCACAGCTGGCATGTTATCAAACTCTCCCTCCACCTCGTCGACCCGTCGTCCCCTTCACCTCCTTTCTGCATCTCTTCATTCTCATCCTTTCCTTTCTCCGTCTACATAGACCTATACTTTGTCCCACCGTTCTTGCTCTCTGCGACACACCGATCTTTTTTATCGTTGCCCATTCTGGTCGAACCAGGAGGGACACATACCAGATGCATCATCGAAACCGGAACGAGAACGACGTGTATCTCTCGGTCACATCGGGACGCATATCGAGATAATATTACGCCGTCATCGAATGCCTTTGCACGATTCATTCTTTTTTCCTCTCTAATTTTCGCACGATACCAGGAACGTCGCATGCCGCATTATCGCTCCCCGCGATAATTTCATATCAGGTTCGCGCGGGAAGCGGTTCCGCGATCGGTGCAAACGTCGACCCATTGTCGGTCATTCGTCTCCTAAACACGACTTCAAGAATTATCCTTGTTCCCCATTAGTCTCGACTAGGTGACACGGTCGACGAATCCCTTTTTCGGTATGAAACGATCTTTCAGTCATAAACAATCCGAGTAACAAAAACTCTTGAAAGATTCCCAGTACATATTTGCTTCGTGTAACATTTATCGTGGAACGATCAGGTTTCAAACACAAACAGAGAATAATAGTGATTGCAAGGTGTTTCCAGCGACCAGTATATTCGAATTGACGAGCCCGTAGTTCTCGTATTTCCCGCGAAAAGACGCGACACGTGTCCTCCTGACGATAAAGTTTACGCTTTCAGCCTCAGTTTTGTAAACAATTGCATCACGTTAACGCTCCAGGATTCGTGTCTAGCTACTACGCCTGCATCGTCACCATCGCATGATTCCCCGATGCTTCTGCAGTTGCTCCGATATTACGTAACCGTATCCCATAAAGAGTCGCGAGATATCGTGTTTCCACGAGGCAAAAACAGCAGAGAAAGAAAAAATAAAACAACGAAATCGTTTCAATGGACCCGATTCCGGTGTAACACGATACACCACCTTAAGTCGGTGCGAGCCCTTCAATACCGACTTGTGTGTGTTTGCAGAAAAAAAACGTGCTATTCGAACGTAAAGGAAAAAACTTGTTAGCACTTCTGTAAAAAATAAAAACACATTCCGCGGGATATCGGTTTCGAGGCTTTTTGTCGCATAGTTCCGGGGGCCTCGAGATTATCAAGCTAGCTTATCACCGGCGATGACGCATATCGCGACTAGCACCGGCTCTCGCTACCTTTTATCACGTCCCGTCTATTTATTCCTGCCGGTCTCCTCCAGGGAGCAAAAAGAGCACTGCACCGGTAATTAATACCGCAGCAGATCGGATTTCATTCGATACGCGGTCGTATCGCCCGACTGGCCAAACGGGAAAATCTATCCTGTAATTGTACGCGTCGATCTCGATTTTTTTTTTTCTAATCGGCGACACTCGTTCAAGTAGATACTTCTCGACGATAAGCTTCCGTGTAGTTCCTCGTTCCAACCCACGCCAGGACGTTCAACTGGGCAAGAATTAGGTGGAAAATTGAATGAAAGGGGTTGGGTGGATAGACAAGAGTTAATCGTTATTTAGTAGTGGCTGTTAGAAAAGGGGAAAGAAGCGTTTGTATATTTTGCCGGAGGTGCTAAAGCGCGCGAGTTCTGAGTTGCCGTGTGTACGTTTACATCGACACACGCGCAGGCTCGCGCGTAGAATCATTCATCCGTTCTCGTGCACGCTCTTTAAACGAGAAATTAATGATAGAACCGCGGCACCGTTTGTCATTAATCTTCGCGCGTTACCACGCATACTGTTTGCGGCGTTTTTACGATTTTCCGTCATTCGATTCCGCGAACCCTATTTGCAATATTTTCGTCGAGACTCGAATACGTCCATCTTACGATATTCATCCGGTCCGCCGTACGAAACAGTTTTTTTTAAAAACTTTTCTCCCACCAGTCCATCTTACGATATTCATCCGGTCCGCCGTACGAAACAGTTTTTTTTAAAAACTTTTCTCCCATTTTAATCTCATATTTCATTTTCTAGTTTACCGAGGTAACACCATCGGAAAACCTCAAATTTTCCCTGTCGAAAGGGCCCAGAGCTTTCTGGAACAAGACTCTGAGGGGCTTCATATGAAAACAAATAACACTTTTATTTTTATCGTCGAGAGTTCATAAACGGTCTCGACGAACAAAAATATTCATGGTCGGTTCATTAAAATTAAACATGCACGTTGCACCTGCGATTCGAGGGGACATCGACACCGGCGTGCAAACATCGACGCTCGAAAAAGGAGTAAAAGCGGGTAGCCCTTACGGATAATGGCACCTGCTACCCGGTCATATCGATCGAGATGGAGTATATACGAGTGTCCAGGACGGGATTCCACCGTCGTCCTCCCTTCAAACAGCACCGTCGACGATCATACGGCTTCTTTCTCCCATATCTGGGGGCGAGGGGGGGCCTTCGTCTTCTTTACGACTTCACGTGTTGTACTCGCGTTGTCCTCGGTTTTGCGTTGGCCTTTCAAACTTTCGAGTGCCCTATCCAGACTCCCGGCCGCATTTTTCTGCTCCTTGACCATTATACTCGTGTCGCTTCAAGAAACTTCTCGGCGGTGTTTTCCTCGAGTGAGAACCGCGACGAAAGTGAAACTTTCGGAACACCTGAGCGACAAGTTATCCCGAGTAGCTGGTAGTCCCTTCGATTATGAAATTCACCGTACCCACGAAAAGTTTCGTGATCATGGAACAACGACCTCTTGGCTCAAAATTGTGAAAACTTCGAAAACCCCCGTTGCTCGTCGTGAAACGATAATATCAGTACGCGTCTCTAGCTCGTGTTCACGCTAAGCCCTCTGTTATCGGCGGTCGTTATTCTTATCGTGGCCCGGAAAGTCTAGCCTCGCACCTCGGCTAGCGGAGGACGCGTGCATAAACAAACGTAGAAACGTTCTGCTCCTCGTGCATACGTGCACGGTTATCGCCTATGGCGGCGCGGTTGGTTGTTCCCCGTGAAGTTTATCGACTCGAGAATTTCAGGAGGTGCTCGCGATACCACCTCGCCGCCTCGTTGTATGTATGTATGTACCTGTACAGCCGGTTCCGTGCACGGTTCTCTATACCGTTATTACGTAGGCGGCCCGGAACGATGAAGTTTCGATGATCGCTCTTTTTCTCTCTGTTTCTTCTTTTTCGTCTCTCCGTGTCCCGTATATAGGCGATCGACCGCGTGGGAGGAAAGCAGGTTATATTAAGGCTCGTTGATATCGCGCGTCGATCCACGGGAGAATTTATCTTTCGTGAATCTTTATTATTTCAGGCCCGGAGCGTAACCGTGGGAATTCGCGAGAGTGTACATACATGTTTTCTTTTTTTAATTAACACCGATTCGTCGGTGTCAAGGATACCACCGACGTATTTCGTGAATAATCGGCGAAACGACGATGTTCGTCACGCGAATACCTGCG